TTGCTACGTGAGTTGGATGCAGGTGGAGCCTGCCTCTTTTTCCCTTCTGTGAACTGGGAATGAAGACGGGATGAAAAGAAACATGGGGAATGGCTGTAAATCTCCTTTTTGCTTGTACTGATTCCAAATGACATAGGAAGTAGCTTTGCATGGAAAGAAAAGGTTTCCCCAAACTGTGTTTTGGGGGAGAAAAGATTTTTTTCAAAGGGCCCAAGAACATTCTATTTTTAATCCCATCTGTGACTTAGAAGGCTCAGGGTGGGAGGCTGGGCATGAGCCAATAGCCTTCCCACACAGGACTGAGTACGGCCGTCTCCTCCCCCCCACTCCCCCACTCCCCGGCCTGGAAGGCACACTGCTGACAGGGTTTGGAGGAGGGTTGAATAGAGCCACCCTCTGTTCTCCCTTTAGCACCCCACAGGGATTTAGGATATTTTCATAAATTCTCCAAGGAATGTTAGATGTGGTTACAAAGGTGTGTTTTTTCCCCCTACAAGTGGCATAATCAGAACTCTTCTTAATGAGTAGAATTAAATTTTGAATAAAATTTTGTCCTCATAATTACCTCTTGTGAAGACCTTTTCAAATGATTTCATTTGAATTTATTTCACATTGACATTTCAGAAACACTTTTGTTCTTCTCTGGATTGAAATATCTTAGTAAAACTTTTCCTGTGTCTCACCCTAAAGTAATTATTCATGTTCCTTAAACAAGGTCGGTGTGAGTGCTTGTCCTTTTTGAATATAGTCTCCAGAGTGAGTCTGAGTCATTTTTTTGGTTGTTCAGGTGTCTTTCTCCTCAGCGTGTCTTTTCTTCTGTTGTCTTATCTTTCCCTTTTACAGTCTGTATGTGGGGTGTGGGTGCCACTAGGACCAGGACTCCTCCAGCAGATCCCAGATAAGGGAAGCTGGTTGGGCCCTGCTGGGTGGGTTTCTGCTGCCTGCAGCTCCCCTCCGCCTTCATGTGGGTCTCCTCCCACTGCAGGGCCCTGGAGGGAGCGACACTGGATAGCCTCTAAGGCTCCTCTGTGCTTCAGAGCAACAATTGCAGCATTTGATTTCTGGAATGATTGGCGCTCAAACTTTTCTTTCCTCTCAGTACTTAGTAGAAGCCAAGTCTTTCTTAATTTGTGTTTTCATTTCTGCCCCTAATTTCTCAGAGCTGTCTCAAGGTACTTGAGGAAAACTGTTCACCATTTGCTGCTTAGAATTAAGCCTAGTTTATCTCAGGTTCTAAAACTTTAAACACATTTTATTTAAGTTATTAAAATGATGGGGGTTTTGTTTGTGTGGGGTTTTTTTTTTTTTAAACAACTTTACATTATTGAGTCTTGTGGGCCTTGAGGAAAACTGTTCACCATTTGCTGCTTAGAATTAAGCCTAGTTTTTCTGAGGTTCTAAAACTTTAAACACATTTTATTTATTAAAATGATGGGGTTTTGTTTGTGTGGGTTTTTTTTTTTTAAACAACTTTACATCATTGAGTCTTGTGGGCTGACTGGGCGGGGATCCTATCAATAATACCGTGAAGATCAGAAATCCTTTTTGTCCTAATAGGATGCACAGGTTGAGGACTCTCTATATAAATTACTAATAGCTGGGTCTTCCCCCTTCTCCTGTCTTTTCAAAGCAGCAGGTTTGTACTCATTTTGCATGGGTACTATGAGAAAAAGTAATATTTTAGCTTTTTTTTTCAGAAAAAGTGAAGTGTAAAAAGGAAAAAAATGACCTTCCTCTTTATTTTATAAATATATTTTACCTCTGCCTCTATATCCTTAAGCTCATTTTAAGGACCTGGTCTGCTTCTTATTCTTCTATGAGTCTGTATGGCTGGTCACTCAGTTGCTTAGAGCATCGTCCCAATACACCAAGGTTGCAGGATTGATCCCTGGTCAGGGCACATACAAGAACCAACCAGTGAATGCATAAGTGGAACAGCAAATTGATGTTTCTCTCTCTTCCTCTCTCTCTCTCTAAAATCAATAAAAATAATACATAAAAAGATTTATTGGGGGGACATTGGTTAATATCATCTTATAGATTTCAAGCGTACAATTGTATATACATCACCTGTCTATTGCATTGTGTGTTTGACATGCTTGGCTGGGGATTTTTAAAAATGTGAACCTGTCACAGATGGGCATGCCATCCTTTTGCAGAGACCATGCTAATAATGAATTTTCTTTGTATTACTCCAATTTCAGTGTAAGCTCTGCCAAAACAAACAGTACCTTGGAATTTTTTGTGCATACATATGAAAAAGGTTAAAGTAACCAAAGACCTGCTGGAGGGTGAAGTCAGTGGACAAGTTAGTCCTGTCCTGCTAAGAGATAAAGGTCAGCGCAGAGCAGCTCAGTTAATAAGATGTTTGGATAGACACAATGTAGAGCAGCAGTAAGTGAGATAACCTCTGTGCAGCAAACTCTGGGTTCCTGATTTGTGCCAGGTACTGTGTGCTGGGCTTTGGAGACCCAAAGAGAAGGTAGGAGACTGCCCAGGGAGAGGTGGTGGATTGTAGCAGAGGCTTTCGGGTGAGCCCTGTGTTTAAATTCCACATTACCACTTACTAGGTATAGGTCTTTGGGAAAGTTGTCTAGCTCTCTGAACCATTGCTTCCTCATTTCTGAAAAAGGAATCGTAGTATTTACCTCTAAGGTTGTGGTTACTAAATGATGCATGAATTCAGTATCTGGCACATTGTAAGCAGGCAGACAGTGGTGGCTTTTAGAACAGTCGACTGCCTACTGAAGTCAGAGATATGGGAGCAAGCCATTATACTGCGTGTAAACAATTGTTCCCACAGTGCGTAAGTGCTGTGGTGGGTGGGAGGTTTGTGTGCACAGGTGTTTGAGGAGATGGGAGGACAGATAGATGCCTCACCCAGCAGGGACACAGGTGGAAGGCCTCCAGGAGGTAGTGGCATTACTACTCCTTGGTAGTGAGCCAAGACTTGAAGCCCAATTAAGGATTAGCTGGCAAAGAAAGGAGGAAGGACATTCCATTCCAGGCAGTAAACAGTCTCTACTGGGACACCCAGGCACCTTTTTGTCAAGTTTTGGTTTCTGGTTTGTTAGAGACAGTAGGAAATCTCCAAGCTTTGAGCCTCTGCTAAAGTTGTGAAGGGGAAAGAACCTGGAGTGTTAAATGGGTTTTAAAGAAAAGGAAGTCTTTTTAAACTCTGAAGTCTCCAGAATAAGAATAGGCCTTTGTCAAGTCCTGAGGAATTCATCTGGGGAGCCAAGAATGGTTCCCACCCGCGCCCCCTGTGGTGGGATCTAAGCACACTCTCTGGCAACCCACCCACCGGTTTCCCACTTGCTGCCAAACTCCATTTCAGGAGGAAATGATTCCATTCTTTTCTGACTCACAGGACTATTAAACAATCAAGAAGACCTCCATGGCCTTAGAGGGCTGGGTAAATAATATTTCGGAATGTGATACTGCAGTGATAGGAAAAGAACAAGCCATGTTGTAATGCTATGCTTAACGGGAAACAAGATGTCTGTCAAGTGTGTGTGTGTGTTGCAAGGAAATACACTGTATTGATACTGAACTTAATTGCTAGGATGCATAATAGCACAATAATCCAATGAAAAGTCTGCTGTCACATTCAGATACTTACAAAGTTCTTTGTTTAGATCCCAAGACTTTAATTCCAAAACCTAGCATCTTCCGAGTTTTTACTGTGTTCATAAAGGCACTGTGCTAAATGTGATACCTTGTCATGTCACTAAGTTGTCAAAACAACTTTATGAAGTAAGAAGCTTCTGCATTTCTTCCAGATGAGCAGAATGAGGCTTTCTAGAGCTTGTAGTTGGCAGATCTGGAATAAGCCTAGGTAATCTGATGCCATCACTAAGCTAAAGTAGTCCTACCCTACCTAATTTTGAAAAGTTGTTCTTTTTCTCAGAAATAGTTTATGGAGTTTTAAAATTTTATTTATGGATTGACTTGAGAGAGAGAGAGAGAGAGAAACACATTGAATTGTTGTTCCACGTAGTTATGCATTCATTGATTGATTCTTGTATGTACATTGACCAGGGATGGAAACCTGCAATCTCCGCTTGTCGGGACAACTAACCAACTGAGCTATGGCCAGAGCCTATGGAGTTATTTTTAATGTTTCCCCATGCTTTATTTTATTCCTTTACTTTGAAACAACTCAAAATTTAGCAGTTACTTTTAATCAATTGCAAAGTAATGTGTTAAGATTTTTAGGTGAAATTTAAAGTTTGTTGGCGCTGCTTCATGAACTCTAACAATGTTGAGAATCTAATTGTCCATGCTTATATTTAAATTTTTCTCCCACAGGTTCTGTGGGAAACCATTCATATTAACAAAGCATAGTCTCTAATATATATTCCTTCTTAGTACAAATTCACTTATGGAGAGCAGAGAGGGACAGCAACGATGGGACTGTACTGTACAGGCTATTAATAATAGTGCTATTGAGCATGTACGTCGAGGGAGAATACTCAAATCTCAATAAAGAATTATAGCAGAAATCAGTTTGCGCTTCTTAATTTCTTCTGTGGTTTTAGTGGTCCATGTTTAGGGTGAATGGGTTAAGAAGAACCATTGTCCTTTGCCCTAGCTAATAGGTGTTCCAAGTGTGGTCCTTAGAACTTGTTAGAAATGAAAATTCTCACCCTAACACAGACCTGACCTACATAAAATGAGGCTAGTCTTCCTAAAATGGGGGAGAAGCAATTGCCAGGGATGATTATTCCACCTAAACACACCAGGATGAGAATTGGGTAACTTGGTTTTTTTCCTTCTTCTTTGTAATTCATTATGGACTTGTTAAATTAGCAATAGCACCTTTATGTGTTTGTAAAAATACTGATTTGACAGTGAGCTCTAACAACAAGGCAATCATTACAGGTTAATAGTATTTGATGAGCCCAGTAAATACTAGATCATTTTATATATGTTTTTTTCTTCCCCCTTTAAATTACAGGCTAAATAATACCTGTGTCTCTTTGGGGCTGTTTCTTTAGGTTAAAAACGTTTCTGCAGGCACACAAGACATGCCTCCTCCGCCTTCGGACTACGTGGACAGAGTGTACAGTCCTGTGGCCTACTCTTCCAATGGTAAAGTGAATGACAAGCGGTTGTATCCAGAATCATCCTATAAATCAACACCGTAAGTAGCAGCTTCTTCTGATATTCTGAGTCTAAACCATGAATACTTGCACTTTTATAAATCTGTTACTGTTTTGTACCATTTCCCTTAAAAAAAAATCCAACAGTTTGCATAAAGGCTGGAGACTGATCTTTGCATTGTAGGTGGATGCCTAGGGTTACTTGGAAGGTAAGAAGGGTGGGACTGTGAGGTGGGGTCCTCCTCTTCTTCTAAGCTGAAAATGCTTTTCTCCTGATGATTTAATAGGTAGAGGTAGGTTAGGTTCTTTCATTCTAGGAATATGGTTCTCTGTCCTAGTTCTGGTTTTGAGTTTAGGTGTGAGTAAAAGGGCATGTACCCTTTTACTGAGTAATTTTAATGAGTAAAATTACTGATTGATAGCATAGCTTAGTGCATTTCTTAGTCTCTCCTTTTGCCTATAATTATTAGATCTCATTTAGAGTGTTGAATAAACACAAAAAAATCAGGAAGCTTTGGCGAGAAATAAATGATAATAATTTACTCAAGGATCTTAGAGTTTGCAAGCTGGAAACATATCTAGGCAAAAACCTAGAAGTGTTCCAAAGAGAAAGAAAAGTTAAGAGTTCTTACTGTAGCCTGGCCGGGTAAGTCAGTTGGCTAGAGCGTGGTCCAGATATGCCAAGGTTGCAGGTTTGATCCCCGATTAGGGCAGGTACAAGTATCAACCAATGAATGCATAAGTAAGTGTTTCTCTCTCCCTCACTCTCTCTAAAAGTCAATCAATAAAAATTCTTTTCTTTCTTTTTTTTTTTTTTTTAAATATATTTTATTGATTTTTCACAGAGAGGAAGGGAGAGAGATAGAGAGTTAGAAACATCGATGAGAGAGAAACATCGATCGGCTGCCTCCTGCACATCTCCCACTGGGGATGTGCCCACAACCAAGGTACATGCCCTTGACCGGAATCGAACCTGGGACCTTTCAGTCCGCAGGCCGACGCTCTATCCACTGAGCCAAATCGGTCTCGGCAATCAATAAAAATTCTTATAGTTAAAGTCACATCCTTAAAAATAATTAGTCCTGCGTTCTTAGCCCTCAGGCTGGTCCAGGACAGTTATCAGTCAGAGGTCAGGCAGTCTGGAGGATGGGCACCAGGAGCCTGGTAACATCCCGAGTCCTTTAGGGGTAGTCCGAGGGTTATCTGCAGGTATGATGTATGTCTAGGCATACTGGTTCAGGACTGGAAAGTTCAACAGCTGAAGTTCCCAGGTGAGTTAAGATAAAAAGAATAATTTCTTCATGCCTCAACCTTCATAATGTTAAATAATTTAGTAGCTTGGTTAAAATGCCTTCATTTTATATTTTCCCTATCTTTACTCTTTCCTCAGTAGAAAGGGAGATTGCTCATTGATCAACCCTGCCCACATATATTTTTATTAAACTACTAAAGGCCCGGTGCACAAAAATTCGTGCATTCAGGGGTGGGGGGGGGGTCCCTCAGCCTGGCCTGCGCCCTCTTACAGTCCGGGACCCCTTGGGGGATGTCCACCTGCCAGCTTAGGCCTGCTTCCCAGAGGATCAGACCTAAGCTGGCAGTCGGACATCCCTCTGGCAGCCCGGGAGCCCTCAGGGGATGTGCAACTGCTGTCAGACATCCTTAGTGCTGCCAAGGAGGCGGGAGAGGCTCCCCCCGCCTCCGCAGCTACGCTCACAGCTGTCAGCCCGGCTCGTGGCTGAGTGGAGCTCACTCTGTGGAAGTGCACTGACCACAAGGGGCAGCTCCTGCATTGAGCGTCTGCCCCCTGGTGGTCAGTGCGTGTCATAGCGACCAGTCGTTCTGCCCTTACGTCAATTTGCATATTACCCTTTTATTTTATAGGATTAGGCTTCATTTGAATTCAGGAATTTTGAGATCTCCTTTGCTGTGCTAGAGCCTCTGTATTGCTGGTGAAGCCTCTAGCTTTTGTTACACATACAGTGTAAAAAACCTCGAATTGAGTTTCTGGCCTAGAGTCGGTATGCCATTATGGTTTTTGAAATGGTATCCCCATTGTGGTTTTAGTTTATCCTAAAGCCTAATTCTAATTCAACCTAATTCTAATGAACTAGTGAGAAATGGATATTGGAAGTATTATTAAGGACTTGGATGTCATTTTTGCCTAAGGATGGTAAGTTGTGTTGCTATATTTAATTCTAGAACTCCAAATTCCTTTGTAGACCAAAAAAAGAAACCTTCCCTTTAGTTAGTTTGATTGTTCTTAGTCACAGGTGTGTCTGCTGGAAAACTTTTTGTGACTCCAAAGTTTTCTTTCCACCCTGCACCCTCATTTAGTGGGACCCACTGTGAGTGCACAGTGTGAGCACCTGGAACCCCGTAAGGTGACACCAGCAGCTGCGTTAATTATGGAAGCAGTTTGAAGGCGATAGATTGATTATGGGAATGGAATTTGGAGACAGACGGGCAGCTGCCTTACCCTCCATATATGTTGCTTTGGTCTGCAGAATCAACCTTGCTGTTCATTCCAGTTGTGAATGATGGGGAGAAAGAGCATTTTCTCTGTTCTCCTTCTCTTTGGATTTTAACAAAAACCAAAGCACCTGAAGTTATTAGGGCAAAGGCACATAGTGGGGATTTAATCCTTGTGAAAGTTTTGAGTGGTGATTTATAGGGCTTTCACACATGCAAAATAAATACCTATAATGCATGTGACCAGCTATGCCTCTAAATTAATTGTAAGACCTGCATGGTTACATAGCATTCCCACATGTTGTCCCTTTTCATGAAAACCAAAATATTTTCAAATTCATTTAGAACAATTTAAAAATCTTACTTATTCTTAAGTAAATCAATACATTCCTAAGTAAAATTTAAAAGGGACAAAAGAGATCTCTAGTTCCTCTCCCTGGAGGCAGCTGGTATTACCAGTTTCTTTTATATCCTTCCAGAGGTAATTTTTAAGTAAAATATGCTGGCCAAATATGAATATTGGTATGTTTTTCCTTTAAAAAAATATTAGCATATTAAATGCCTTGTTAGCACTGTATCTTGGAGAGTGTTCATATTGGTATACAAAGAGTTTCCTGATCTATTTCATAGCTGCCTAATATTCCAGCAGTAATTTATTTTGTTATTCCCATATTGATGCACAGTTTTCACCCAATGTTTTGTGATTACAAACCACTGCAGGGAATAAACTTGTACTTTGATCACTTTGCACATATGTGAATGTATCTGGAGAATTGCTGGACTAAAGGCAATTGCGTATTTCATTTTGATAGATGTGGTCAAACTGTATTCCATAATGGTTGTACCAGTTTATACTCCCTATCTACACCCTAGAACTTTTATGAAGGTCTTGGCAATGCAAATGTGATGATTAATTTTAGAATCCAGAAGGGGAGGATGGGAATGGTGCTAAGGGATACGAATGTGACAGCGAATCCCACAGCGCAGCACCTGATGTGTGCGGTAGTGATGGAAGGAACTTGCGGCCTCTGGGGAGTAATAGAAATTGTCAAGTGTTGACTGTGGCAGAGTACTGAGTGCTGTGGAGGATTCAGAGTGCATCGGCTGTGGAGGTAGAGATGCACATTAAGTCATAGTATGTTTTCCCTCAGGCTTCCTGAGGTGCTAAGAACCCACGAGCACCTCTCCTCCTTGCTATTGTGGTAGGCAGAGAAGGAATTAGAATGGGAGCATTGTGTCTGAGGTCCATGGTTCCTCAATACTAAGATTTTCTTCCCCCAAAAGCATAACGTACATTCAGTAAAGAGCACTAATCTTGCCCTGCCTGGTTTGGCTCAGTGGATAGAGCGTCAGCCTGCGGACTGAAGGGTCCCAGGTTCGATTCCGGTCAAGGGCACATGCCCGGGTTGCCGGCTTGATCCCCAGTAGGGGGCATGCAGGAGGCAGCCAATCAATGATTCTCTCTCATCATTGATGTTTCTATCTCTCCCTCTCCCTTCCTCTCTGAAATCAATAATAAAGATATATTTTTTAAAAAAGCACTAATCTTGAGTATACAGCCTGATGAATTTTCACAGATGTGAACACTGAAGTCACCACCACTGCACCAGGAGAGACATCTCTAGCACTCCAAAAGGTGCTCTGATGTCCTTTTGTCGCGCCCCCCCCCCCCCCCATTTTGATGCCTATCACCATCTATTAGTTTAGCGTGTTATTGGAGTATTTATTTAATGGAATCATAAACATACTCTCATGTCTAGCTCCTCTTCATCTTAATGTCCTATACGTTAGAATTTCCAGGTAGTCAGAATTAATCCTGGAATAGGTGACAGCAGAATTTAGCTGAAGATGGTTGCCTCTTTACCCTTCCTAAGTGAATTTGGGAGAGCCCTGTTAGGTACACTCCCTAGTATACTGTCCACACCCAGGGTGAATTAACCTTAATAAATCAAGGAAGTTGAGTGTTGACACTACAGAGAACTTTCAAGGCAGGATGACACCCTAGGGCAGTGGTTCTCAACCTTCCTAATGCCGCGACCCTTTAATACAGTTCCTCATGTTGTGGTGACCCCCAACCATAAAATTATTTTCGTTGCTACTTCATAACTGTAATTTTGCTACTGTTATGAATCGTAATGTAAATATCTGATATGCAGGATGTATTTTCATTGTTCGCGACTCACAGGTTGAGAACCGCTGCCCTAGGGCGACAAATAAGACAGCCCATTGTTTGGTGGTAGCAAATAGGCTGACGGGGTAATCTGTTAGGGCTTTTATGCAAGTCCTAGGAATTCACTGGTTCACCTAAGGCCCAGGGGTGAGTCTGTGTCAGGCATGGCATATCCAGGGACCCAGAAGATATCAGGGCCTTGTTGCTATGTTCTTTATTCTCAGTATAGCTTCCCTTGTAACAGGATGGGTTATCCACGTTCCCATCAGAAAATCCCTCCTTGGCGGGTGTGACTCAGTAGATTGAGCGTTGTACCATGCGCTGAAAGGTTGCCTGTTCCATTCCCACTTAGGGCACATGCCCAAGTTTTAGGTTTGATCCCTGTTCGGGTGCTTGTGGGAGGCAACCAATCAATGCTTATCTCTCTCCCTCCCTTCTCTCCTCTCTTTCTCTCACCCCCTCCCCCTTCCTCTCTCTTTAAAATCAATGGAAACATATTTTTAAAAAAGGAATATTTTCCCCCGCAAAGCTTGCATATCAATATCACTCTATTGGAAAGATTCTGATTGGCCTTTTGGATCATTGTCATCCCCAAGGTCAGAAAGGTGAAGTTCTGTGATTAGCAAGGCTTAGTTACTCCCCCCAATAATGGTGACAGTTCTAAACACCATATATAGGGTGTCCCCAAAAATGTGTATACATTTTGAATAATTATTCATTCCAATGAGTTAAATCTGAGAAGTAAAAAACATCAGTTGACCTATCAGAAAAAAGTGTGTGCACATTTTTTTGGAGGGACACCAGAAAAACAATGGACATCATTCTGACAATCAAGAAAGACACTGGTATTAATTATGCATTGTTTCTCCCCCATTGATAGTGGGTGTCCTCAGAAAACAGGATTCATGTGACTGATTTTAATTGAGTAATTACCTTGAACACCTGCCACATACACAGTAGTGGGCCAGCTGCCCTGGGAATACCAAGTCCATGCTCTCATGGAGGTTGCAGACTAACAGGGGCGGAAGAAAGTGCACAGTAACTACATTGAGAGTCATGGCAAGATAATAGCAGCAAAGGCATGTGAGGGTGTGTGTGAGAGAATAAAAGAAGTAAATAAAAAGAAACGCCGAAACCGGTTTGGCTCAGTGGATAGAGCGTCGGCCTGCGGACTGAAGGGTCCCAGGTTCGATTCCGGTCAAGGGCATGTACCTGGGTTGCGGGCACATCCCCAGTAGGAGGTGTGCAGGAGGCAGCTGATCGATGTTTCTCTCTCATCGATGTTTCTAACTCTCTATCTCTCTCCCTTCCTCTCTGTAAAAATCAATAAAATATATTAAAAAAAAAAAGAAACAATCCAAAAGCTGCAAAAGGGGGGACTTCCAGACCTGGGAGACTGAGTTGGGTACTGAGGAAAGTATGCAGCTGGTTACTTGTTCTGGGTTATGTGGATTTTGACCTAATAGAACTTGCATCTAAAAGTAGGTTAGGAAATTATTGAGAGTATACGTATTCCCTAGTTCTTAAAATTATATATTCTTTTAATGCTAAGCATTTTGTGCTTAGCTTTTATGCTATATTAAGTATGTTACTGTTTAGTACTATTTTGAAGGGTGTGGGAAGAGGAGAGTTGGAAAACTTCCAAGGTAAAGATTTATAATATCAATAACTAATAAAAAAATTAGGGGGAAACCTGCCTTAATGTCTTCTTTTTTCTAATTTCTCTTGCCCTTTAGTTTCCTCCCCTTCTGGCGCTCAGCCTCTCAAAGCCAATGAATGCTAAAGGTTTTGTTAGTCATGTCAAAGCAAGAAGCATGCATAGTGCCCGGCATTTTGGCAGTGTGTCTAGGAACTTGTTTAATTATTGACTCATGGAGAAAGTCACATTTTCCCTCCCAATAGAAGTAGCATTAACTTAGCACACAAAGCCATGCTAGCATGAATAAATTCAGAAAGAAGGAATAAATACCACCCCCACCCCCAACTACAAACACATACACACCTTTAGACTTTGACAGCAAAGTCAGGCAGTTCTGGATCACCTAGAAAAGAGAGTAAACCTTGTAGATAACGCTCCGGATCACAGTTATGGTAAGTGGAAAGAAATAAGAAATGAAAATCTTCAACCGTCTTTAGTGGTTGATTTGAATAGCGAGGCTGATGTTGGGAAGTCTCAGGTGCTTTCCTTGCCTTCCTTTCCTTTCTCTTGCCCTTCTCCAGCTCAGCTACCATGAAAGGGAAGCTTTGCGTTTCTGTTACTCGGAAGTGGGATACAGTTGCCATAGCTCTTGGTATTTTACTCCATGTTAGGCTTTGGTTTTAAGCTTGTGGCTGAAACATTATGTGCAATGAAAAATTGATTCGATACTGAACAATTGCATTAGAAAAATAAGTGTAGCCCTAGCCAATTTGGCTCAGTGGCGAGTGTCAGCCTGTGGACTGAAGGGTCCCAGGCTTGATTTCAGTCAAGGGCACATGCTCGGGTTGTGGGCTCGATCCCCAGTAGGGGGCGTGCAGGAGGCAGCCGATCTGTGATTCTCTCTCACCATTGATGTTTCTCTCTCTCCCTTCCTCTCTAAAATCAACAAAAATATATTTAAAAAGGGAAAATAAGTGTAATGGTAACCCTTCCATTCCATTCATTCCGTGTGGCTTCAGGATTAACAAAGCAATTTTACAAAAGAAGTCTTTTTTTTTTTTTTGATATAAAAGCATGTTTAATGCAGAGAAAATGCGTGGCCAGTGTAAGCGTCTACAAAAGAAGTCTTAATGAGCCTTGTCATCTATTACTGTATGAAGCTTTTCAGTTGTTTTTAATTTTTAGTTTTTTTGAGATATCTTGAAAAGGAAATTGATATAAAGGAGTCTAAGGTTAATGTTACAAAGGTCTGTCTCTGCGAGTCAGCTTCCAAAGGTAGATATGCGTGTGCATTCATTCCTCTTCTCTACTCAACATGCCATGGAACTCGAAGAACCTGTAGAAAGGAATCATGGCCATTGTTTTCCTGACAGCCTTTTGTGGAGTGTATCCCCAGCGCAGGTCAGGTAAACGTGTCTTCCAGACCAGCCTAAATTAAATGAAAGCTTAGATCCATTTCACTTAAAAGGTTTATAAATGGGCTCCTCTTACACCGTAAAGCTTCTCTTGTGTATTGGAGGATCTGAGCTGGTGCTACATTGAACGCAGGACACTAGGGGGTCCGCTCAGTGTTGAGCATATGAGCACTGTAGGTGCTTGAGTGAATGCACCTACATGCAGAGCTCTTAATAGTTACTGTTGCTGCTCTTTGTGCTTACAGTGCACTGGCAAAGGCTTGCCGTGTGCCCAGTGATCACTGAAAAATCATTCCTGTGTATTAGGGTGCCCGAAGTGGTGCAGGAGCTTCCCGTGACGTCCCCTGTGGATGACTTCAGGCAGCCTCATTACAGCAGCGATGGTAACTTTGAGACACCGTCCAAAAGGGCTCCCACAAAGAGAAGGGCGGGCAAGTCAAAGAGGCCAGAGCAAGACCACTATGAGACAGACTACACGACTGGCGGCGAGTCCTGCGATGAGCTGGAGGAGGACTGGATCAGGTACGCGCCGCCTCTTTCGCTGGAGCCACCTGCACATTTGATATTAGCGTTTGGGAGCTGTTGCATCCTAAACTGGGGTGGAAGGTATAATTCCATTCTTTGCCAACCAGGACCGGAGACTGGTCTTTTATGTTTTTTTCTTAATACTTGTTCGTAATAAAGATGGACAATGGAGGGGGTATGCTTGGCTGTAATAGTGTCTTACATGGCCCCCACGCATGGCTGAGAAAACTTCACCAGGGCTCTTACTTTTGTCAATAATTACTCAAGAAAGGCCTTTATATAAATAAAATACAAGTATAGAGGAACTTTATTTTACTGATTATAAATTTCCCAGACTGGTGCTGTGGCTCTGCTTTGGCATTTACTTTTAAGCTTCCACGATGACACCAGAGATTCTTTTAAAAGTTTATCCAAAGGATTTCGGAAAACAGTTCTGTATACAGTTGTTAACAATTTAGTGTTCTGGCCAAGATTGAGGTTAAGTTCCTTTGAGTGTGTGTCAGTGGTTTTGTTTTAGGCCATCAGCACAGCTATACTCGTGTTTGATGTAGCCCTTTTATGCCCAAGTATTGTGAGGAATGGGATACAAATCAGAAATATTTGTGGTGTGAATGGTGATGAGTGAAAACATTGCTTCACAAGGTGTTAGGGATGCATGGCGTGGGTATAGTTTGAAATACCCTACACATGAGTGTTTCTCAGACCTCGTTTCCCCTCTCTCCTTAAGAGTTTTTGGCCTAGCTCAGCCATATACCTGTGAAATATTTGCTTAACTTATATCATAGAATATTTAAATGAAAACTTTTAGAAATTCTGAATTCTTGTTTCCTTTTTGAGCAAATCCTTTAATTTGTCCTCTCTGCAAAATGAAGGTATTAGGCTGACTTAGATCTAAAATTCGAAATTCCATATTGCTAAGAAGATCCGTAGTTTTGTGACACAATTCAGTATTTCTTCAGTGGTTTAGGGATGAATAGCATTACCTTCAGATGTAAAGAACAGCTGGTATATTGAGAGATACAGTGATACAGAAACTCAGGGTTTTTTCCATAGTTTAATGCATTGCCAGATTATTTGTACAACGAGCATGCATTTTCATACATGGACATTTTAAAGTCTACTTTTATCATCAAAGGACTTAAAATAAGCTATTTCCACTTAGGAAAAACAAGACCAAGATAAAAAATAAACAACAAAAAACAACAACCCATACCCCAAACAGTCTGAAAACTGTAGGTGGTAGCGGAAAATAGCCAGCTGCCAGTGGACTGCCCTGCCCCCTCAATGACGACAACATGCCTCGTGTTCCAGAATTCCAATTCCAAGACGTTAAACATAAGTTGCATTATCGTGTTGTACATGCAGAATAAGTGGGTTCTTATAACTTGAACCTTAAATTTCATAAATTACTTTTAACTTTATTTCCCAAAATTATGTAGGAATAGTTTTTATAGAAAAAAACAACAACACATACAACATGATCAGTGATGTAGAAAGTATAATCCTTCTTAAGAGAACTATTTGCAGACCACCTTCCTCTCCCCATCAGCTACAAAAAGAAGGTCATTCTCCATGTCCCATCAGCTTTATTATCCCCACCTTCCTCTCCCCATCAGCTACAAAAAGAAGAAGGTCATTCTCCATGTCCCATCAGCTTTATTATCTTTGAGGAAGAAACACTGGATTTTATGTCTGCTAAGGGCACATAGTCATTTTCTCACTCAATTTTTAGGGAATATCCACCTATCACTTCAGATCAACAAAGACAAGTCTATAAGAGAAGTTTTGACACTGGCCTGCAGGAATACAAGCGCTTACAAGCAGAACTTGATGAGATCAATAGAGAACTCTCTCGTCTGGATAAGGAATTGGACGACTATAGAGAAGAAAGCGAAGAGTACATGGTAAGTTCAAATATGATAATTATATATTACATATACTTTACTCTGATCTATGGAGATCCAGTATCCTTTATATTGATGTTAATACAAAATGTGTTAGTAATTATAAAACTGTAATTTCATTGAAGAATAATTGAAATTGAATCTTGGATGAAAGTCTTTCCAAATTGAAGAGTATACTAATACTAATTTACTTAAGAATTACAAAGCAGCCCTAGCCGGCTTGGCTCAGTGGATAGAGCGTCAGCCTGTGGTCTGAAGGGTCCCAGGTTCGATTCCAGTCAAGGGCACATGCCTGGGTTGCGGGCTCGATCCCCAGCAGGGGGTGTGCAGGAGGCAGCCGATCAATGATTCTCTCTCATCTTTGATGTTTCTATCTCTCCTTCTTCCTTCCTCTCTGAAATCAATAAATATATTTTTTTAAAAAAGAATTACAAAGCAATAGTCTACATACATATATCTCTTCCTCTTTAAAAGAAAATAACTATAGCACTTTTTCTATTTATACACCCAGTTCATTCTTTGTGTAAAAAATTCAAACAATACAGAATTGTCTAAATTCCTTAATTTCCACCACCTGTTTATCACCAAAATATGGGTTGTTGATATAGGCCCTTTGATAAGGAATCATCTTATATGTTTTACCTATATCTCCCGTATTTTTACTCAAAAATAGTTTATGGTTTGTTTGTTCTTTGATCACCTGGCAGAGGCAGTATTTATCTGTGTAAAGTTACTCTTCCCGTTGTAATCCCCCTTTCCATAGTATACTGTTGATCATACTTAAGAAATGAAGACTTATGCTCCAGCTCTCCAAAGGAGATGTACCTACACAAATTATTTGGAATTCTTCTGCATGGGAAATGTGTCACTTCTTCCATTTTTAAAATTTATTTAGTCAGTCACTTTTCAGTAAGGGCTCATGGATATCTTATTTATACATTAGCTTATAATCAAATACTACTTTATTGTTATAGCTCTGACCATTGGGAACTCTTTCAGCTGCCTCCTTTGTATATTTGATGTACCCCATCATTGTGGGGGGTTTTCTTTTAAATGCTTTATGGCACTGCTTATATCCTGCTTTTTTACTCAACAAGAGCCTATGGTTATCTTTTCATATCAATAAAAATATTTATTATTTTTAAATTTTTTGTGATTTTTATTTATTTTATTGATTTTGAGAGAGAGAGAGTTTGGTTTGTTGTTCCACTAATTTATTCATTCAACTGGAGATCAAATGGGCAACCTTGGTGTATCGGGAAAATCTTTAACCAACTGAGCTACCCGGCCAGGGCTGAAAAAATTATTTTTATGTGTTAAAAATAGCTACACAATTTTCAATTGTACGGTTGTACCATAATTTACTTATGAGTCATCCTCTGTGAATAGACATTTAGGTATGTCTATCCCCTGCTCCCCCCCACACACATATACCACCCCTCAGTAGTACTAGTAATATACTGGTGACTCTCTCCATCTTTTCACACTTGTCTCCTTATCTAGCTAGAGCAAATTCCAGAACATGAAATTGCTGAGTCAGAAGTCATGCATATTTAAATTTTTATTGTAAAACTGCCCTCTAGAAAGATGTTAACTGCATTCCCTCTACTGATGCTAGAGGGTTCATTTGACCCACATTTCACTAATACTTAGTGCCTGAAAAATTACTGCCTTGTGTCTTAGATATTAGTACTTACACTTTCTTTTATCACATGATTTATTTATTGGAACCTCATATTCATTTCATAAAATACCCTTTGCCATTTGTAATTGAGATGGTCTGTTTTTCAGTTTTGAAGCATTTGCTTCTTACATAGTTTGATTTTAACTATTGTTTTCTTTTTTAAAATATATTTTTTATTGATTTCAGAGAGGAAGGGAGAAGGAGAGAGAGATGGAAACATCAATCATGAGAAAGAATCATCGATTGGCTGCCTCCTTCACGCTCCCTACTGGGGATCAAACCCACAACCCGGGCATGTGCCCTGACCAGGAATCCAACCAGGACCACTTCCTGGTTCATGGGTCAATGCTCAATCAATGAGCCACACCAGCCAGGCTTAACTGTTGTTTTCTTTTATGGCTTTTTTAAAAAAATCAATAATCATTTTATTTTTATTTTATTTTTTATTGTTTAAAGTATTACATGTGTCTCCTTTTTCCCCCATTGACACCTCCCCAGTCACTCCCATTCCCCAGGACAAGCCCCCACTGCCCTAGTGTCTGTGTCCATTGGTTGTGCTAATATGCATACATACAAGTCCTTTGGCTGATCTCTTACCCCCCCACCCCACTGCCACCCTAGCCTGCCTTCCCTCTGAGATTGGATGGTCTGTTCAGTGTTTCTTTGTCTCTGGATCTATTTTTGTTCATCAGCTTATGTTGTTCATTATATTCC